TACTTCTTGCTGATTGGCTGTTGGGATTTAACTTGATTAACACCTGCACAGAAGCATTTCCATACTGACAGTATGTCTGTATTCAAGTGGTTTGGTAGGTATTTCAAGCTTTCCTGCTCCAGCATTGGAATGCCGGGCATGGACGCTTTTTTTTTATTTTGAAAATCAACAGTTTGCATTATGCAATTAAAAATCCTAACCAATAAAGTAGGGAATAGCTATCCAACTGTTGTTTTAGTTGTATTTTACTTCATATTATAGTTATATCAATGTAAATCATTGTTTTCCCTTGTGTTTCTCATTCTTTCCCTGCCATGTGGTAAAATGTGGTGAACCCATCGCTGTATTTGCTCCAAAGCAAATATTGGCCTTTCTAGTTACAACAATGTTTACCAACAATTCCATCTAACGTGTAATCTGTCCTTCCACAGGGCTCATAGCTGGCATCCTTGGCGGAGCGCTGGCTCTCTTTGTTGCTGCCTTTATCATCAGATGTATCAGCCATTGCAGAAAACGACGACGTGCCTGTTTCAATAACTTGGCCAGTGCTCCGACCTTGCCAACAAGAACCAGGAACCGTCTTCTTCAAATGATAGTAAGCGTTGACCAGAGTGATTCTACTGTTGATGGACATCGTCAATGCAGTCCTTCAGTTCACTCTCGGTGCAAACCCGACCCACATGTTAATCCGAAAAGCACGGGCACTGCTTTGCCGTTGCAAACGGTTAGTAAGATGTCCGTGTCAAAGTTAGTCAATGTTGACCAGGGTCAGACCAGCAATGCCACCCTCGGTGCAAACGTGCACATTGACACTCGGCGAAGACGTAAACAAAGTGCTGGTACAAAAAGCACGATGCCTTCTTTGCCTTTACAAACAGTTAGTAAGATGCCCGTCTCAAATGTGGTCAGCGTTGACCAGCACCAGAACTATAATACCTTTCTAGGACGTCTACAAGATTTTTTGCGAATGCAAAGCCCAAGGCGTCCTTCAATCGACACTCGGGCTAAACGCAAAAAAAGTGCGCGTCCGAAAAACACGACAGCTTTGAATTCTATACCGTTACAATCGGTTAGTAAAATGCTAGCCTCAAATATTGTCAGTATTGATCAGTATCAGACCCGTAGTGCCGTTCTAGGGCCTCTTCAACAAGATCGGAGTAGGCGATTGGACACGACACCAGGCAATTCTAACTGAAAGTTTAAGCGTTCCTGATTATCAAGTGTGTGAAAGCTTGTAACGATAACTTTCTTTAATGTCAATGTTTTCTATTTTCTATTGTCCTTGGTTTTTACATGTAACTTCGATATTCATAAGTTGACGGAAGACAGACAGCCTTGTACTTTGTGCATCCCACAGACTAATCAAAATCTAGAACCACCATGTCGATCAATTTGTGGTTGCCCTTGGTTTTTGTGTTCTTTCGCTGGGTATTAATTTTATTAAATATGGAAAGATAGCTGAAAATAGTATATGACAACTTGATCAATTGCATCACAAAACTTGCCATATCATATGCGATGATTAAACACAAATTTTTGTCACTCTTGCATTCAAAGAATCTATTCATTATTTTCTTCTGGTATAAAATTAGTACATAGTGATTACAATTAGTACAACAAAATAGCCTGATTGGTTTAATGGTGAGTAACCCTGACCATGGACCTTGAGGTTGGGAACCTATCACACATCCAACTTGCATGCTAGAAATGAAATTGGTCACAGTGTTTTGTCCCGTTCCTGAAGTACTAAACAAAGCAGAATATCTTACAAAGCCAGAAGATTTCAACTGCCTTTTCCAGGGAAGGAAAATATGACAACCATAATTGACAATTACTTTGTTACCTTTTTAAATATCCATATCTACTTGGTCTGTGTCGTTGTGAGTGAGGGAAATACACCTTGCAAAACAAACGAATTCTAACTGCAATAAAGGCACGACATGCGCTAAGTATAAACCTTTTCTTCCAATGTGTTGCCTTGGAAGTTAACTGTCAAGGTCGCAAGTGAGTGGTGTAAGATGTTACATGGCTTTGATAACGAAATCATTACTATTCAAATATATATAAAAAGCAATCCATGCAAACAATCGATGCAATAGATAAGTTTCATGCCTCGTGACTTATAACATAGACCTTTACAAAACAGGGAAAAGATGCTATTCGCCTTGATGTTTCCAAGATGGGGGATGAACCAAATGGTAAGAAACTAGATATTTCCTCTTTCAGTCATGAAACCGACGTCCTTGTAGTTCGGCTATTTCTAGGAAATATTCAAAATAGGACGTTGGGGGTCAATCAGAATATTGCGTCGTAGTCTTTTTAAGCTAGCTATACGCCAGCGAGTTCTGACTGATGCCAGAGAAATGCTAGTAAGTGTAACCAAATGTTAATGTCTAGAGAGCATCTGTAGTTTGACAACTAGACAGTGTATAGTGGTGGTCCTCTGTGTAGTGATCCTAGATGCAATCATTGGCTGATACAGAAGTTACATGTCTATGTAAAATTCATTTGTAGAATTGTCAAAATGTTCTGTATTTATATTGTAGTGTTTGGGAAGACTTGTAAAGGTTTTGCCCTCCCTTCCACTTGTATATTTGTACTTGTGGTAAATTCAAATAAAGAAATGAAAATAACGGCCAGACGAACGGATAATAGTCAGACGTTCATAGTCATTAGATGTGATAAATGATGTGGTAAATGTAATTTAATTTCTCCATCGGTTGCAGGTACTAGCGACCATAAAGCCCATCATAGCATAACATCTATTTAAGACACTTGAAGACCACGCCAGGAGACAAATCGAATCCAGGAAGGTATCATCTCTTTTATGAGCCAAAATGTTTTCTGTCTTTTTAATATTACTTCTACAGAATGTGGTTCAGGTCAACACAGCCATTACTTGTTGGACTTACGGAAATTGTGCAGGGCAAGTGCCTAATCTAAAGACCATACCCGAAAATGTGACTGTAAAATCACTGCTACTTAATACAAATGACATCAAAGAGCTGACAAACATACCAGAAATGCCGAAGCTATTCCTACTTGATTTGTCCTTCAATCGTTTGAGAAGATTCCCGTGGTCTTCTCTGAAGAATGCATCGAATATTCTTCATTTAAAACTGAACAATAACGAAATTTCGAAAGTTGACGCCTACGTCGACTTCCCCCAATCCTTGACTTATCTTCACCTTCAATTCAATCGCATCACCGCGATTGCCGAAACTTTCCTGCATGGATTCAGGTCCCCCAAACAGACATTCTATCTGCGGATATGGCAGAATCCTCTCCTTTGTGACTGTAAGATCCAGTAGATCGCACGTTTGCGGCGATGTGTGTGGGAACACCGGGATGAAGGCTGTGTCAACGCTTCTCCTGTCAGGGTCATGAGGTGTATACTGGACAAGTGCAACTTCCACCCGAATGGCGTTGCGGTTATCCTGGACTGGCTTCAGTTGGATGACCACCCTATCGTAAAGCAAAGAACCTCTGAAGAGTTTCTTAGATGTGACTCACCGCAAGAACTGAAAGAAAACTTGCTGAGAGACGTTTCTCTATCGACATGTGCACCTCCTAACTCTTCGGGAAGTGCAGAACAAACGTCGTCTCCAGATAATTTAGGGGTTCAAGAATCTGAGAAGGCATCAGCGGAGTCAGGGCCACCAACACTCGTTACCAACAGCTGGGAGAGAACCACGGTCAACACTCCGGAATTTTCGCTCTTTTGGAAAAGTGAGTCGCTTTTATTTCTGTACTCCTTCCTTACATGGGTCTCAGATTTGAGCCACAAGATACAATTCTAACGCATATTTAAACCTGAGAAGGGTTAGAGGCATTTGAAATTCGATACACTTCCTTGTACGATTAGAACACAGTTTAGCCTTCTACAATGTTAACCATCAGCTTAGATGAATATACATACATGAAATCTAGCGTTTCTTCTGTCCTTCCACAGGGCTCACAGCTGAAATCCTTGGCGGTACGCTGGCTCTCTTGGTTGTAGCCTTCATCATCAGATGTATCAGTTATTGCAGAAAACGGAGACAGGCCTTTTACAATAACTTGGTCACTTCTTTGTCTTTGTCAACGATGGCCGAGGGGCGTGTTCAAAGTATAGTAAGTGTTGACCAGAGTGATTCTCGCGTTGATAGGCATCTTCAGGAAGGCTGCTCAAGAAAAGTGGAAGAAGACGAAAGCTGCACTTCAATCGACGATCAGCGAAAATGCAAACAAAATGCTGGTTCAAAAAACATGGCGCGTTCTTTGCCGCTACAAACGGTTATGAAGATGCCCGTCTCGAATGTTGTTAGCGTTGACCAGCGCAAGAGCTTTAATGCCGTTCTGGGACGTTTACAACAAGATTCCTTGCGTAAGAAAAGCCCAAGACGTACTTTGATTAAGAATTGGCGAAAAGGT